GCTGTCCTTGTTCAGGCAAAAATCCCACTGAAGTCAAGTGGTCTCCTGCAGGTAGTGCTTATTTATTCTTCTGCTTTACAAACCTCAAACCAGCCTTTTCAGCTATTCCATGTAGCTCAAATACATTAGCTATATTAGAAACCATGACAAAAAATACATTCAAAGAATGCTATTTCAGTAGTGAAGTCAAACCCACAAAATTAGGAAAAGCCAGCTTCATGTTTGACTGCACAACCTTAATTCTGCCACCCTCGTGGTTCCATCCTGGGCACTGAATGAGTCAGAGATCATGCAGAAAAAACAGTACATCAGCATGTAATTACAGACTGTGTCATAAAATGCTTAGACACATGGGGGACAAATTAAAATTACACAGCCACTGCTAATCGGGTATTTCCCAACTTTTAAGAGCTTGACTTGACAAGAACAATCCAAATAACATTCTCTTACCACAGGTTTTAAAATGTAATTGTAGCGTTTCCTACCCGAGATGGGTAAAACCAAATTTGAGTGTGTATGTGACCAGAGAACACTGAACAGTTCACACCTGCTGCACAAACTTCTATGATTCAGGCCACAGTACTAATTGCAGTGGTTGGGGACAGAAGCAAGCTGTTATCCCCGAGGAGGAAATGGAATGCTGAGTTATGTGGCTGGTTAGTGGGAAAGGGAAGAACCTCAGCTAATTCTCTTTACACATGTGCACGTGCATACACACGCGCGCACACACACACACACACACACATGCATATCCCCCCCCCCCCCCATGTGATGCTCCAGAGATGAATGGGACACTGGGTCCAGGCCTGGGAACCTGGCCTCACGCTCTTCTTCTTTCTCGTCTATTCTCCAAGGAGTTGGGCAGGATTGATCCCAATGTAGCTCACCAGAGGAGCAAAGATGGGCCTCCGGGTCCCAGGGAAGCCCAGCCTGATTTCCAAGTAGTTCCCCCAGAGATGGTGCCCAGATCAGAGCAGCTTTCTCCACTCCCCTCCCAAATATCTGCTCTCAGGACAGAGTCTGCATTTGATGCTGCATCATGAGGCCAGCTGTAGAATGTCTGTGTTTAGTTGTTATTTTGTTATGCTTCCAAACCCTTCCGAGAGATTGTAAGTGAGGGTACATCTGCACTACAGTGTTATTTCGAAATATCTAATTGCGAAATAGTTAATTTGAAATAAGCTATTTCAAAATAACGCACCTACACACAAAATGCATTTCAAAATAGTATTTTGCAATTTTGAAATAGCATGTCCACACGGAGGGTACTTCTAGACTACATGGCTCCGTCGATGGAGCCATGTAGATTAATGTACTCGAAAAAGGGAAATGAAGTGGTGATTTAAATAATCTCTGCTTCATTTACATCAAAATGGCTGCCACGCTATGCCGATCAGCTGTTTGGTGGCACCGCACAGTAGTCTGGACGCTCTATGGTTGACAAGGGAAGCCCTTGTAGACCACCCCAGTAAACTTTATTCCACGAGGCACAACGGGGCGGTTGACAAGGGCTTCCCTTGTTGACTGCGGAGCATCCAGACTACTGCGCTGCACCACCAAACAGCTGATCGGCACAGCACAGCAGCCATTTTGATGTAAATGAAGCAGCGATTATTTAAATAATAGCCAAGGGCATTCTCCCTGCAGAATAACAAAGGCCTGCTAGAAATGAAGGTGATGAGAGCTTCTCTAACAAAGGTCACAGGAATCCTTTACAACAAAAAGTGACAGGAAATTTAAATGTAGAGATTGCTACCAGCTTCCCAAGAACAATACAGATGCCAAGTGCATCCAGGACCATAGCTTAAATACTTGGATAGGAGCCTTACTAACATAATAATAAAATGATGGACTTTAGATAACACAAATTTTACTGCTAAAGAGAATATTTTCTTACTTGAATATAGCCAGATACTAATGTGAAACTAGACATTCCACAGAAAGCAGGTTAAGAAACCTTCATTGAGGGCTCTACTCTGGTGGGAATATGAGTAAACTACATGGAGTGCCTGTCACAAGACCATGAGCAAATTTCCATTAGTCTGCTGATGAATAAAGAACAAGCTATCATTTCCATAACCACAAACAATGACACAATAATTGACCGTAACATGTTAAGAAATACAGCTAGTCAAGAATTTTCTGACAAAATGTTTTTTCCACTGGAAAATGTTGATTTGTCAAAATGTTTTGCAGAAACTTTCTGTTTTCAGAAAACTTCCACCAACACCTGCCAGGTTTTTTGGATTGCATGGTAAGCTGCTATGGAGCTGGGAGCCTGGAAACTCTGGGAACCAGCTGCAGTGTTGCTATACCCTCAGGTCTAGGCTTATGTTCTGTGGGATTCTCAGGACTACCAGGATCTCCATTCCAGGAGCTAGAGGCAGCCCAGGGAATCCTCGGGAATCAGGGACAATCCGGGGAATCAGAAACAACCACTCAATTTTGTTTAAGAAAAACTGAATAGAAACCTTTCAGATTTCTAAATGAAACTGTTCAGAATTTCCTTTCTTCTGGAAATTTCAAATTCTCTCATTTTTATTCCAAACCATTTTCAATATGTCAGAATACCCCATAGAACAGAAACTCCAAGTTGCAGTCAGCTCTATTAAAATACTGTTGGCTTGATGACATTCCCACAGTTTCCTCTCACTGTACTTGTATAATATGCACTGCATAAGTCTCAGTGACACTAAGGCACCTTTACACCAAACTGTCAGAGAAAGGGGCCTTAACTTTGGCGTGAGCATAATATTTGTCCTTTTTACATTTCCTTTATACACGTGTAAAGGTGTATTAGAGTAACTGAGAATCAGTCCCACAGTGCTTGCTAAATAAGGCTCAGAAAGTCCCATGGTTTCCATTATTTTTTAGCTAGATATACGCCCAAATTCACATAGGGCTGGCTCGGATATCAGACACAGCAAGACACCACAACTTCCCCTCCCCTGGGGGACCTACAACTGTTCAACACTGCCCAAGAAATTGCCCACACTGTCAATTGGGGTTCAAGACTAGGTTGTACAGTGGTACTGCCTCCACAAGGCAGTCTGTTCCCTCAGGTGTCTTGTGAAATGTCCGATCTAGCAAAGCATAAAGCTGTCCTCCCTACCAGCAACCTCAAGGGAGATCAGATGTGGTATCCACTGTATGGCCCTGTGAGTGAGTCCCCTGTAGCACAGTGAATCAAGCTAGCACAGGCAGATACAGTTCTGACACTTCCCTGCACTAGTGGTAATCAAGTGGGCCCATGAAATACACATGTTTATAAATAAAAAACCAAAAATACGACATTAGAAGAACACTCAGGCTGCAAAATCAAGCACTCAAAACTCACGCTGGCGTGACTCACTTAACTTCAGTGGCATTACTCCTGTCTTACATCAGGGTAAGATTAGAACCAGGACTAAATGCTCTAATTATGGATATTGCTCCAAAGCGTGTATGTCCGGCTTTTGCTAGTTTTGTCCAGGCATCAGAGCAAAGGATGGCAATAAATTCAAATTAAACATGCTAAAGCTGCCTGATTGATAGCTGTTTCTGAGAAATAAAGCATACGAACCGCTGAGACTGAGTGGTGTGTTCCAACAGAGTTACATGAAGACATCTGTGTCTTGTTACACACCAATGCTGAAAATTGTGCCATAGTTTGTGAGGTGAAAGAGATTTGTATCTTTTCTGCCCTGGCAGCAATTCCCATCTTCCAAGCTGAAATTGGGGAGAAAGGCTCTTTATTTTAAATGCAATCACTTGTATAATGAATAATATATGAAATACTATGGCAGTAGATACCATGCTGCGCTAAAATAAAACCATTTTTATCAGTTTGAATACAGTCAGCTGTCATATCAAGTACTATCTTGATTTTAACAGGCTATTATTTATCTTTACAAATACTTGATTTACTGTGGGAGTTTACAAATGGAAAAACTGCACTCTTAAATATTATCGATGCAATTCAGAAGATATGAAATAACCAACAAGATTTACTTGAGGAGAAAGGTTGTAGTTGAGTGGTTAATTTAATATAATTATTAATTTATTAGTATTATTAATTTAATGTTATTATAATTTAATAAAATACATTGTTTACCTGGAAACGTTCCATGAGCAAAGGGGCATCTAACCCAAGAGCCTTGCTTGGTTGTAAACTGAAAATAAAGACAGTTGTTAGGAGAACTGAATTTTGCTGTTTGAATTAGTGACTACAAATCTAACTACAGCCAGTTTCTGTATTCCAGAAAGCAGCAAAAGAACTATTCACAACTTGCCTCCCCTGTTCTGTTAAGCACTGAGGCCTCTTTTCTGCAGACATTTATGCATGTGCTTAACTTTACATTCCCCTGGAGTCCCTCTGACTTTGAAAAAACCAGCTGCTTAATAACACAAAAAAGAATAATAATTAGTCAAATATTGATTTAATTGGCTATTTTACCTGAATAACAGTAGCAACGGTTTGGTTCATGGATGCATAGCACAAATATTCAAAGAATTTACCATTGATTAGTAATATGCATAAAGTTAAGCACATGATAAGTGCTTGCAGCACGGGAGGCTAAAATGTTCTATTCTGCTTTTCTGCTTTATCAGTTTAAAGCTGTACACTAACCACTGCTATCTCTTAGGGTATGTCTACCCAGCAAAGTTATTTCAAAAGAACAGCCCTTATTTCGAAATAACTTTCCTAGCATCTACACAGCCAAACCGCTATTTCAAAATAAATTCAAAATAGCGGAGTGCTTATTTCGAATTCAATAAACCTCATTCTACAAGGAATAACACCAAATTTGAAATAGCTATTTCAAAATAAGTGCAGTGTAGACACTTATATCAAAATAGGGGGCCTCCAGCCTTCCCAGGATGCCCTGGTGGCCACTCCAGCTTCAACCAAGAACACTCCTCTTCCTCCCCCACTCCCCAGAGCCCTTAAAGGGGTAGACTGTGGCCACAGTGCCTGTGCCAGCTCCAAGCCTCCCAGCCCAGAGCCAGCAGTCACTGCCCCTGACCCAGTGGCCCCAAAGCATGAGTCAGCGAGATACTGGCAGCCAGCCCTCCACCGCTCCCTAGTAGCAGTCTGCCAGCTCCCAGGAGCCTGCCAGGGCCTGGAGAAGGTGGGCACCTTCATGGTCCAGGGTGGAGATCATGGAATTTATTCAGATTGGGGAGATGCCCCCAACATCCATGATTTCCACACTAGGTGGAGGAACGCGGCCGTCTATGGCAGGATAGCTGCCAGCCTGGCCACAAATGGTCACATGCGAACCCAGGAGCAGGTCTGCATGAAAATCAAGTTGGTCCGGCGAGACCCCCAACCCTGAGCCCTGAACTTCCCCTCCCCCTTCTTCCCCTTGCTTCCCCCTTCCAGCTCCCTCTTCCCAGGTTTCCTCCTATCCTCTCCCATCTCTATTCTCCCCTCTCCCGCCTCCTTTCCCCAGTCTCACCAGAGTTTCATTCCAGCCCCCAGTTTTGTTAAATAAAGAGAGTTTGTGTTCATGAAAATACATGTATTTTATTTGACATCAGGAAGGGAGGCTAGGGAGGAGTAAGTGGAAGTACGTGAGGGAGGAATGAGGCAAAAGCCCCCAGTGGGGCAGACCAGGGAGGCTCTTAGTGCTCCTCAGGGTGGAAGCTCTCCCGCAGGGCCTCCTGGATACTGACAGCCCCCCAATGGACCTTCCAGACGGCAGAAAGTGCAGCCAGGCTCACAGCAACATGTCCAAGAGAAGCGCCAGAGTGCCCAGGGGCAGCTCTCGCTCCATGTTGCAGAGTGCTGTGGTGTCCTGAGTGAGGGTAACCAGAGCACTGAGACACAAAATGCTTTGCTGTCCCTCATCAAAGTAGGCAAGCAAGCAGGGAAACCTGAGAACTGTCTGTCCGGGGGCGGGTGGAGGACTCCTTTAAGCACAGACCTCAGTTAGCCTCAGGCAGCAGCCCCACACAGTAACTCCTGGTTCCAGCCAGCCTTAATGTGAGTCAGAGTCCATTCACTGTGGCAGTGCTATTTCAAAATAGTAAAATGCTATTTTGAAATGCATTTTGTGTGTAGATGCATTATTTCAAAATATCTTATTTTGAAATAACTATTTCGAAATAAGATTGTGACGGACACCCCCCTCCCCCATGCTTTATGAAGTGGACTCATGGACATGAATATACATAACTCAAAGGTGGTTTGAGCGAATTATTTAATGTAACCCATTGAGCTTCATGTCATGATCTGCTGGTTCTGTTTGTTTTACTCTGTTGTATGTATCATTTGTGTGTGTGAAATTAGGCACATGGAGTGGGGAATACTTTGTGAGTTTCAAATGTGTGAATGGGAGACATGGAGGGTATTACCTGCAATTTCTAGATGAGCCACTGTTAAATAATCTTTTGTCCTTAAGTCTGAGCAGTGGTTGGAAGGGAGAGGCCTCAACTCCTTAACAAAAGGAATAGGAAAGGAGAGGACTGGGTCTTTTGGCTGGGCTGCACCTGAAGGAAGGAGCCTGAGACCCCAGGGTGGGGAAGACAGCCCTGGTTTAGAGTGGCAGCTGGAAAGGGGGTTTTAGAGTGAGTTTGATTAAGTTTGCACTGAGGTTTCAGTGGAGAATTAGCCAAGCAGTTTTGTTTCTTTTGATTTGTAACCTACTTTGCTCTACCTGTTTTCACTTACTACTACTTAAATCCTGTTGCTTTAACTTAATAAGACCATTTTGATTTTCTATCAAACCCAGTGTAAGTGATTGTTACCGGGAGGTTGGGGGGTGTGCAACCAGCATGCACATTCCCCCTCTTTCATTGTTAAAGGGGGCTTACCTAATTCTTTGGGGTTTGATCCTATCTGGGGAGTGATATCCCAGGAGACTGGGCCCTAAACTGCACTCTTCTTGGACCTGAAGTGATTCAGTGTCTGTACTGCTTCTCGGTGGGGGCAAGGACCTCAGCTCGGGGCCTTGGCTGGGGAAGAGCAGCGGACTGGCCCAGCAGGACTGGGCAGTGAGGGGCCCCAGAGAGCGGGAATGCGAGTGGCAGTGACCATGTCAGCACCCCGGGAGGCACCCCCGAGGGGTCGTATGTGACCACGGCCCATCACAAAAGTATTTTGAAATAACACTGTAATGTAGACATACCCTTAGGGAACAGTGACCTAATTTCTTCTCCTTAATGAATATTGTCTTTAAGGTGCATGTGGTAAATGTTCATGATGGTACTGAAAACACGTCCAACCTCATCTACTTTTGTATTTCATTGCAAACTCAAAATTCAGACCAGATCCACTATTAGGTCTGCAAACTTTTCCTATGATGATATAAAATTCAAGAATTGCACATCTGGGTATGGACTCAAGTGAACCTCTAGGCCAGGGATGGGCAAGAGAGCCTCTGCAGTCAGGATCTGGCCCGCCAAACCAGTTGATCCACCCTGCTGCTACCTCACCCCCAAGCCAATTGAGACCTGGGGAAAGTGGAGCGTGCACAGTCTCCGCTCCCCACCAGGGGCACGCAGTGCCTAAAGTGAACCGCTAGCTGTCATCATGGCATTTGGGGCAATATGGTGCTCCAAATTTTGTGGTGCCCTAAGCAGCTGTATATTTTGCATGTGAGTTGGGATGGCTCTGCATCTATCCAAAGTCTGTATAAAGTGCTGCCAAAACAGATGCACAAAGCTGCATACCCACTTTGCCCAGAGAGCCCTTGACTACAGAAGGCAATGGAGAATCAGGTGCTGAATTTTAATGTCAGTTTTGATGGGAGGAGTAGATACTAATGTCCTTTTCCCTAACAGCAAATGAATGGCAAATGTGCATTGCTTTTTACATTTTCTACATCTTCTCATTCTCAAATTTGCCATTGTGAAAGCACATTTCTATTAGCCATATTATGTCATCAGCTTTAAAGCCCATTCAAATAAAATATGGTTCCATGTGAGCCATTTTCCATATCTGACCTTTGAATTAACTTCTATAACACAGCATCTTCCTATTCTAATATTTCTTATTTCCCTTATTCCTGTTTTCTTTTCATGATGACAAGGTAAAGAGTATTCTTACCAAAGACTATTAGAGATGCATCTTTTGTAGCTGATACCTACAAATTGAGGAAGGATAGTATAAATGGTTAATCTACAAGAAAAGCAATTTACCTTCATGCAAAGTCTTGGATGAGTGTCCACTCGGGAATATTTTACCTGCTTGAAAAGAGAGTGCTCAGAATTAGTCTCAAGGTACGTCTACACTGCATCCTAATATCAAAATAAGATATTCTGGAATAGTTATTCCAAAATAGCTTATTTCAAAATAGCACATCTACAATGTAGGGAAGCCTCAAAATTAGTCCAAGGCAGGCTTCCCTAATGTAGATGTGCTATCTCAATTTAGAGCTCCAGGAGGCAATGGGGAGGAATAACTTAGAATGGCCCTAGTAAGGGGCTATTTTGAAATAATAGTAGTGGAGCATCTACACATGCCTTATTTTGAACTAGCCATTTCAGAATAGGCATTACTCTTTATAGAATGAGGTTTACAGATTTCAGAATAAGCCGTCTGTTATTTTGAAATTGTTTCAAAATAACGGAATGGCTCTGTAGACACTCGCATTGTTATTTCAAAATAACACTAGTTAACTTGAAATAATGGTGCAGTGTAGACACAACCTCAGAGAGTACTCAGAATTACTTTACAAGCCAGTATCAACAGAAAGAACAAACCACTGAGCTAGAAATACTTTGTATGACTGATGTATTAGAAAGGGAACTGAAGGTTTTTTCTTTTAAAAAAATGTGTCGATTATATAAAATAATTTAATTATTATAATGGACCAATCATTACCTTCAGTGGGAGTTTTTGCTAAATAAAGTTTGAACTGGTAATACCTACCATTTATATAGCACTTCTCATTTTCAAAACACATAACAAACAACTAATTAATTTTGAAGTGAAATGTAATAATTTTTTCTACAGATCATTAATGCTATGATTCATACTGCACCCTCATAATTAAACAGAACTTCCTATGGTGTCAATAGAAGATTTGTGCAAACACCATGAGAATGTGACCCATTAAATCTTAACTAATTGATTCAGTAATGACTTGCTTTCTTTAATTCAATAACAAACTGATCACTCTGCTCTTGCTATTTCAGGCCCTGATTCAGAAGGCCATCCCTTTTGTCATTTTAGTTAATACAATTGCCAAAAACAGCAAACTTAAGCCTTCTTTTTGGAAAGACTTATGCATGTTCTTAGCTATAAGCACAGAAGAAGTCCGACGGGGACCACTGAGGTATGTGACATTAAGATTGCATGTGTTTGTGGATCAGAGCTTTATTAAAAGCTAGACATGAGGACAGCTGTAAAGACTGAATAGTCACTAACCACATGGCCAAGAGTTCTGAACCTTTCAGCCTTCCAGTTTCAGTGCTACCAATCCCAAACATTCAAAAATCATGAATTGGGCCCCAAATAATCATGTGATTGGTTTAACAATTACAAGACTTTTAAAAATTAATAACTTGTGGTTCTTTTTATTTGACTGCTGGTGTTACAGTCTAGGTGTCATGTGTTCAAGTTGTTCTCCACAACTATTGGAGAAAGAAAGGAAGGAAGCTGCAATTCTTGCCTAACCTTATAAATCCAGACTCTGGAGCTTTAGGAAAAGCACTCTGTATCACAAGCCTCATGATTAAGTCACAAGAGTGAGCTATGAATTATCCTTTTTCAAAAAGAATCAAGCCACCCACAATTTCAATACCTACAAAAAGCATGAACCTGATTCTTATTTACAGTAGGCCCTAGTCTACACTGGGGCTTTATTTCAAAATAACCGTCCTTTGGTCAACTTTATAAGCAGAGCATCCACAATATCAAGCCCTTCATTTCGAATATTGGCCTGCTTATTTCAAAATCTATACTCCTGTTTTTCTCAGGGAATAATGCTAATTTCAAAATAGTTATTTTGAAAAAGCGTTAGTGTGGATGCTCTAGATGCCACTATTTTGTAATAACTACTCCCCAGAGTAATTCAAACTAATAACTCCTCCCCCCCCCCCCCCCCCCCCCCCCTCCCCCCCCCAGTGATTCCTGGAGCTCTAAGTCAAGGTAGCACGTTCTCATTAACAGAGCCTGTCTCACACTAATTTTGAGGATCCCCCATACTGGGAACCTGCTATTTTGATTTTGTAAAATTAGGAGTTATTAAGTCAAATTTAGTTATTTTGAAATAGTTTCCTAGTGTAGACATGACCTAGGGATCTTTACACCATTCTGGGAGTGTAACAGGACATTAGCACAGGTACACATATAATTGTGCTGATTCTAAGGTTCCATTACACTACCAGTGTGATGTAAAAGGGCTTTATTGTACATAAAAATCAAGGTACAATAATTTTAAAAATGTCTTTTAGCAAAAATGTCTAGGTTCACAAGAATTTCAACCATAAACCATTTTATGAATAGCAGGTGTTTCATTCTTTGAATAACTCATGCTGTTTTGATACAATAAAAACTTAAGTGCTGTATCAGAGCATATGTAGGATAGAAGAGCACAGAAACAAGCATTTGCAACTGCCTTTACTCCATGTCTTACCTACTTATGTTATGCATTGGCTTTAGGAAATAGCCCTTAGTCTTACAGTCCCTAAAAACACTATATAATGCTTACTTTCTCTGGAGCTGTAATTGATGAGTTTTGTAGTTCTACACATGGGTCATTCAACTTTGTTAACCTGCACAAGTTAACAGTGACGGACACGGGACAGGCTGGTTCCCAGGCTAGTGTTTGTGTGGCTGGATTATATGCAATGTTATCCCACAGTGCCTCTGTATCTATGCACAAACAGCAGAAACATTATTTGAGATTAATTAAATGAATCTAAATGATACGGAAATAAAAAAAATCATGCATTAGCATTTAAAATAAAACTTAAGGGTCCAATTCTCTATGCCCTGACAGAATGGGTAATCGTTTCCATCCATGCAAACCTGGCTCAGTGATTATAATATTTTTCACCCACTTTGTAACTGTAAATGCCTATGCAAGAAGGCACAGTACTAGAGAATTAGACTCACTGTCGAGAAAGAGCAAATAAACTCAAACTAGGAGGTGGAATTATTCTAAGACTCTGAGTAATTATTAAAACTAAATGAACAATCCACAATAAATAAACTGATCTGAATAATTAGCATCTTTTTCTGTTCACTGAACACTTCAGGCAGACTTATTTCACAGATTTCTTCAACTTATTTGGAAGTGAGGGTGTTGTCTTTATGGTTTGCAAACCATGTCCTGAATACTCACTGTTGAAAACTAGAGCTGTCTTATTTAATTGCAATTGGTTTTATTCTCTGATTGACTGACTGTGGAAGAACTTCCAGCATGCAAATTTAAAAATTAATTCTGCAAACACCCATGCAAGAAACTTGGAAATTTGGATTTGTGTAATACCTAATAAGGGGAAATGATATTTCTGCAAGTAGGTGCACCAATAAAACTAGGTCAAATGAATGTTCACAAAAAAGTGAACACAAGTATTACCCAGCATCATAGGAGACATAATGGGGGTCAGAATCCCAGCCTATAGTGGAAAATGGGGGCATGAGGTACTCTAACTACAACTTCCCATGAGGTGCAACAGTAGCTGAGGTGAACCCAGAAAAAATATTGATATTTCTTAATCCAAATCTTTCAGATTTTTGGTATTCTGATTTATTGTTCTGGATTAGAATAAAAAGGCATGTTGAATTATGAGAATTTATTGCAGGACAGAAACCCTTCACCACATAAAACACTGAAAACCTATCTCATTTTCAGTTGACATCACTACCTCAAGCCAGAATGTGACTTCATTAGATCTACCTGTGTAGTAACTGCCCACCAAAGGAAGAAGTTTGCAATCAGGTTCACTGCCTGCAAATAATCTTAGATTCATTACTGGCTTTCTATTTATTAATGCAGCAGATTCAAGCTCTTTACTCTCACCTTTAAACCTCGATATGCTTTCTTCCACCTCATCTCCTATTCCCATTCAGGTTTCCTCTGCTCCTCTCTATTAACCATTCCCAAACTCAATTCTTTGCCTTCCTTTATTCACCCTTTACATTTTCAACAATCTCTTCCTTCTTGTCTGTTAGGCCCTCTCCTTTGATTACTTCCTAAAATTACCTTCATGGACTCTTCCCAAAGCTAACCTCCAAGCTGTTGTTTAATTCTGATATCCTTGTGCTTGAATTAAGAAACAAAAATTATACCAATAGGGTCAAATTCTGCTCCCATTTATACCATCTGAAGTCAATAGAGTTACACAGCATTTATGTTGTTGTAAATGGAGAGCACAATCTGGCCTATTAGAAAAAGATCAGATGAAAAAATATAGATTTAATACCTTATTTTCAAGTTATTTGCTGTATTATGAATAAAAATAGTCACTTCTTAAAATGCAGCAATCCAAGCTTTGTCATCTTAGATACAAGCGCATTTAAGGACACGGTACATGTCAGGAACTGACTAATAGCTATTTGGCTATGCAATAATTACAATCTACTTGCCATTTTTAAAAGGGCAAAGTTGTGTCCTCCTTGCATCTGGGATCGCTGACCAGCCCTGCAACTCAAAGAATTGACATTAGCTAGCCAATGATATTCTCAAATCTGCTGTTTTTAAGGCAGCTCAACCCATATATTCCAAGTCAGAGCACATCAAAACAATCCAGCCACAGAGATCTGTCACAGCGGCTGTTGAATTATTCTGGTTTGCCTCCATATTTTCCAAAATCGAACGTCTATGTTTAATTTTCATTTAATTCACTTGACATTCCAATTTCAGTTTTAATAGTACCAAATGCTTTTAAATTCCAGAAATGGCACAATATCATTTATAATATGCAACTATGCTAATTTATAAATTTTAGGTCCCAAATCTACTCACATTGATATCAATGGGTGTTTGGTTATTGACTTCAGTGAATTTTGGATCAAACCTTATGCCTTTTTCATGGTAACCAATTGAATACTTATATCCTGATCCTGCAAACACATATGCATGTAAGTAGTTCAAATGGCTTCCTTTTTTAAGCATGTGTGTAAAAATTGAAACAATAAAAACACAGACTGGAAATAAGGCATACATTTTTAACATGAGGGTAATTAACCACTGGCCAATTCACCAAGGATAGTGACACATTCTTTAGCACTGGCAATTATTAAATCAAGATCAGATATTTTTTCCAAAAGATCTGCCATAAGAGTTATCTAGGAAAAGTTATATGGCCTGTGTTATATAGGAAGTCTGACAAAATGACTTCAGTGGTCCTTACTGGACTATTAATCTTTGAATATCGTGTGTCTGCAGGATCAGGGACATAGAATCCAATAGACACGGTTGCTGATTCCAATAGAACCCAATAGTCACAACTCTCAGGCCTGGTCTACAGTAGGACCTTAGTCCAAAATTAGCCTCTAAGGTCAATTGTGTAAGTAATGCATCCACACTACAAAGCCCGTTATTCCATAACAAGGGGCCAATGAATTTTAACTCTGTAGTCCTGCTTTTCATGAGGAATGACACTATTCCCAAACTTGTAAGTTTGGAATAAGGGTAATGTGAAGACTCTAGTGCCACTAATTCAAACTAATTGGCATCCAGGAGGCCTCCTGCAGCTCCCTAGAGTGTTTCCTAGGGTTCTGAGTCTGAGGTAGCGCATCCACATTAATGGAACCTGCCTTGGACTACATTTGATTCTTCCCCATAGTGAGGACAGAGAAATTCGAATTTGTAAAATTGGGTGCCCAGAAGTCGAATTTAGTAAATTTGAAATAATCTCCTAGTGTAGACATGGCCTCAATTATTTGCTAAGCATGGCTCAGAACCTGACCATTCATATTACAGTATTTGCTGTAAAGAGGTTGGCAGGTGATCTCCTTTAGCATCTGTTCCAATCTTAAATAAAGACTATCAAAATATTTTACCTCAATACAGAGACAAGGAAGTAACTGAGAATATTGTAAGGAAGTTGACTTCAAAGACTCCGTTCCTTTTAACTGAAATTAAAAAGACAATGGTGAGTCCAGTAATTTGATGCAGCAGCTGGCTTTTAATGAAACTACATATAAAATATTAGGCCAGATTATATATATATATGAGCAACATTACTTATGTGAGTAGTTCCAATAAATTCAATGAGAAAATACTGCCAGCCTGTAATAAATTCTTACTCACCAACGCAAATGAGCCCACATCTTCACAGGTAAACCATTTGTGACATAAACGAACATAATAGTCATGGCCTTGAAGAAAGTTTGATACAATCACAGATATCGTTTTCCTCACCCTGTCCACATTATAATCCAACTTCCCAGCTGAGATAAGAAAGAAAATGAACACATGAACTTATTATACAAAGGTTCCTAGTTATGTTGTCAACTAACTCTGATTTGTGCATGTGTAAATCTCCCTCTTATTGGCATATTTGATTTCATTCAATATATATTTAGATCTACATAAATATCCTCCTCTATTATGCTACTTCATGATTTTCATGAGATTGAAGTTCAGAGCCATCCAGTTTATTTATTTATTGTTTTAAGTAACAGTGCGGTCAGGCCAAACTAATTGCTGACTTTACCTTAACAGCATTTCCAGTTGTAAATTCCAGAACTTGAAGAATTTAGTCATGTATTGTCACCCCTGCGCATGTCTCTCCCAAAACTGAATAGAAAATATATTTTTTTCAAAGATGTGCAGCTTTCTGTTAAACCAAAAACATGTTTGACTTTCTGAACAAAATTTTTCACTGCCAAGCCTCCTTAGGACAGGAGACATTGCTGTTGGGTAGGCTAATTTCAGTCTAACTGTGGGGTCCTCTGTGGTGGTTTAGCGAGGAATCTTCCCTGTCCTTGCAACTAAGGTTCAATGTGCTCTCTTTGTTTATCTATATTTGGGGATGTTAGCATATAAATGGGAGAACAGGGAGCAGAGGGATGGCACAATTAACTTTTTCATAGCTAAACATTTATTTGAATAATTCCTATTTATACTCCTTGTGGTCTTTGTCAAAGCTGCATATGCATTGGAGAAAATAAATATTTGTTATTAGCAACATCAGTCTGCTACATGGTATGTGGGATGATGATCTTGTTCAATGGCCCAATTCTGGCACTAAAATGTGTTATAGATTGTACTGTCATCTAAGGTACCAAACAACTGATATAGGACTTACATTCCTCTGTAACCTTGTAGCCTGTAGTTACCACTAGAGCTGGTTTGGAATTTTCCAGTTTAAAAAAACTCAGTTTTCACAAAATCCAAAGTTTTCCATGAGAAAATTGTAATTTTTTTAAAAAAATCAGGAAAATACAAATGAAATATTTTTGTTTGTGTCAGTATGACCTAAATCATATTTTTTTGGTTGAACTGATATGAAACATTTAGTTTCAAATCTACTCAACAAAGCATAAACTACATTTCCCTATCACCACACTGCCTTACGAGAATTGTATTTCAGATCACCATCTCTCATATGGACTGGGCTCCTCAGAGGATGACATTGCCAGTAATGCAATGTAGATTTCCCTCTGGCTGTGCTGACTGGTACAGCAGAGAGTCACGTGACTCTGCATGCATCATGAGAGGGATGGCCACAGAGTCTAGCCCAGAGTCTAGGAGAGAAGGGGTATCAGGATTCTGAAAAACTATTGCCAAGAGGTAATATACCACTATGTGCTTCTTCAGGTCAATAAATTAAAACACAGCATTTCAATTTGGGAAATATCAAAAATGTTTTCTTTTGGTCAATAATATCAAAATGAAATTGATTTGATATTTCCAGATCATAATTTTTCAAAAATTTGTGTTCTGCAAAAAGTTTCAAAATTTCTACTTTTTGTTGCAAGGACAAAAACAAATGTTGAAATGTCGGGCTTTCTGTCTAGACTGAAATTCTGAATTTCACTTAGCTATGATCAGGGAATAGGGCTTCTGCGAGTTGCATCAGGAACCAGTTGTATTAGAATTTAAGAAGGACGTCCTTCCTGCTGCTTTTAATTATTCATTGTGTTACATTATTTAGCATAAAATTTGTAACTTTGGTCTTCCAATCATTTGTTCCTATTCATTCATTTGATGAGTGTCATTGATAAACTCCACACTGTCCACTATATATTCTACAAAAAACTAATCACCTACTGACCATAGTTTTATGTGCCCATCAGAGACATGCAGTTTTTGTGGTGGTAATGCCAAGTGTCCAGTTTTCATATGAGCATCTGGTCAAAGAGGGACCCGCCCTAGCACAGTGAAAATGAAGATGGAGGAGGGCAAACACAGAAAAAGAGGGGATGGAGTGAACAGGACAGGGCCTCGGAGGACGGGTGGGCAAGGGTGTTCAGTTTTGTTCAGTCAGAAAATTGGCAACCCTAGCTAGTGGGGTTGTGCAGGGATATGGGGGTGGAAATGAATAGACACACTTCAAAGGTTAAAAATTTCAGAACAGGTCTATCCTAAGCATGGCTGGTTTTTAAGCCTGTTAGCCTTGCACTACCCCTTTACGCTCTCTCTCTATAAAGTTTCACTTTAAAGCAAATGGTCATTGGTGGCACATGTGATTTGCATTAAACTTTATTCACTGTGCACACATGACTAACTTTCCATTGTCTTTCAGGAACAAGTATATACTAAACTTTTGCCCCCCACCTTTTTGTTGGCAATGGCATTATTTACATGATCATATAGCACTTGAAACAGGATTATGCCATGTGGGGAATCATTATTTTATGAACATGCATTAACTAAGTTGAAAGTATAGAACAATTTAATATACTAACTGTAGTAGATAAATATGTGAGAACTTCATTGTTGTGTGGCTCTACCTTAAAACTTTATGGGGAATTGCAGGTGCTTACTTTTTAAAATGTGTTTCTCTTCCCTGCTGTTGTGTGAAAGACCCACCCCAACAACAGTAGAAACTGACTGATTGACAATGTAGAGGACATTGTGATCCTAGCTATATACATAGTTCTCTCGGATGTTTAAACTGAAAAAAATTCAGAGAAAAATGCTGGATTTCCCCTAACCTCTTCCAGTTATAGCCATCCTAAATGTTGCTTGCAACAACAGTAGTAGAAAAATATTCACCATGATATTTTAAATGGGCCATGTCCCTTTAAGGAGAAAGAGACCTTTCCTATAGTCCATACACACGTGTGACCTCCAGCAATCATCAGTATAAATTTGAGTGATATAAGTAGAAATACTCCCATGCAAATTAAAGGCTGCAGCAGAGGTCCCTGGTACCTATTCCTGGAAGCCAAACTGAGGGTGTTTCACGAGGCATACCTGAGCGGTCAACAAAGGCTTCCCTTGTCGACCGCGGTGCGTCTATACTGCCCCGCTGTGCCGGATCAGCTGATCGTCAGCACAGCGTGGCGGCCATTTTGATGTAAATAGAGCGTGATTATTTAAATCGCCGCTTCATTTTGCTATGCCTAGTAAACTCATCACATGGCTCCGTCGACGGAGCCATGTAGTCTAGACACACCCTGAATGTTTAAGATTTACTATTAAACAGAGTGTCAACCCCACTTTTTATCTGTTATCTACAGTTTCCAAATCAATATGCCCAAACCCTTACATGTAGCAGAATACCCCCTGCTCTACTAACACTATAATTTCTGTTGACAATAGTTGGAACTGCAGAAAATATTATAAATATACAAGTATAGCAATATAACAAGCAATGGTCCACTGGAATACTTGGCATCTGTAAATTATTGAGCCATGTTGCATTGCTTGACTATATGCAATTATACAAGCACAATGACAGTGATTCACATGTTCTAGATCCAATTATGTGCACCTCACCAAAACAGACTGGAATATGTTTTCCCACATCATTGTTCCTGCAATCTGCAAAACATAGAAAAAGAAACTTCAGCAGTGTTGAAATAACTATACACCTTTAAGTAGAGCCCTGCGTGGATTCATAATTTCTATCCACATCCACATCTGTATCCACAAAAATGAGCTGCAGATATCCACATTGACATCTGTAGATGCAGATACCACTTATCAAAGCAGATATGTGCAAATTTTCAGGGGTTTAGATACAAAATTTGCATCCATATCTGTATCGCTATCCGCAAAATGAGCTGCAGGTATCTGCATCCACATCCATGGATAAAGATACCCACAGATATAAAACGCATATCTGTGGATTTGCAGGGCTCTACCTATTAAAAGTCTATCAATCTGGATTCATAGGGCTTTCATCACCGTATTTCTGGGTACCTCCTAAAAGGAAATCGCTCTAGTGCACTTGAGGATCGTGCCCCTGTTCTGTTTGTGTGTTTGTTTGTTTGTTTGTGAAGGCAGAACTTATATGTCTACTATGAAGTCATAATAGATAATGGCATACAGCAAATGCTTCCTTCCTTTTCACACACTGATTACTTCACACTAGCTGTGCACTAAGGAAGCTACCTTCCCAGTTTTGGCCTTTTCCGACTACAAATGATCATGGGAACCTGAAATAAATTTTCCATCAGGGCTGTTATACCACATTTCTTTAGCCATTGTAACCAGCAATTAATGTGTCATTCCTTCCTTGAAAGAAACAACAGTAGTTTCCCAACTCAATTTATCTGATGTAGTGAATGTTTGTGATCATTTTTCATGCTGATTTCCTCTTACATTTACAGTTATAAGAAATACATTATTTATTTCCTAGGAAGTTTGCCAGACATAAAGGTCAATATACGCCCTGGCAGATGACACGTGATCAGAAATTAGCTATAAGAACTGATATAAACATGTACTTAGCTAGCTCTGTACATCTCCAAGGTTGATTTCTAGATTCAGCTTTTTTGGCTAAATCAATATTAGAGTAGTATTTTGTTTTCTTTTTCCCATATAATCCAAGGAGCAATTTTCCAATATATTTCTTTGTTCCTTGTTCCATGTAATGTGGTATCAAATTGGGCTTTCTAAAAGCCTTTTTTTTTTTCATTTATGTTCACACAGTTTGTTTTTCATGCAATAAAAAGTGAGGTAATGCAACTGAAGTTGAAATGTTTATTAAACATCATAAAGTTATATATTTAAGGCAACATGGAACAGAATATATTAAAATCTGAAATGCCTGGAAAGCGGGTATAAGAGGCAATTCAGCCTGTATTCAGTAGGACAACTAACTTGCCCTTACTACAAAGTTTTTGCAAATAAATCTCTGACAAACCAGGGTATGTCAAAAAACCCGCGACTGACATGTTTTTATTCCCAAATTTAGTGCTTTTAATTAGATACCTTTGGCACCTCCAGTCTGCACATTCTGGCATGCAGTAGACAACATGCTACATTTTCTTTAAAAAGAAATTTTAGAAGAGTATTTTTTTCCAAATGTCATTTGCTACATTTGGGTTCAGGGATATGGCTGGAACGGGTGAGCCAAGAGAAGAGGGAGGCAACAAGGTGGGGGAGCACCTGGGCAGGGAAGGGCTGGCGTATGGGCATTCACGCACTATGGTGATATGTCATCTGACCAGTCTTATTGTCAAGTACATACACTGTGCTTTAAATAGTTTGGAACTGTCACTAAATATATATGTACACAGAAACAAGTAGTAGATTATAACATTAATTGAAAACAGAAAGCTTTCCTAGAAAGCCGTGTGCATGTCTTCTTAATTTCTTTGTAAAATCTCCCAAAAGTGCTTATTCTAATCTTTGAACATAGTTGGTAGGAAATTGTTTACATGTAAAATACGAAAATCATTCTTGGAGCTGAACTATCAAAAGGTACCAGAGGCCCAGGTCTACGTGCAGAGCAGTTGTGTAACAGCCCCCTTAGGACTAAATCTGTTGTGGGATAACTGCACATTCAGAGACATTTTACTAGCACAATAGCAGTTCTTGAAGATTCTTTTGTGGTTGCAGCTTCACACGCACACTTTTGCTTGTGAACTTTGAGCCTCTGCTTTGCATATATTTAACAAAATAATTAAGATGTACAACCAAATGTATCCTCAGCTGGTGTAAATCATCCCAGTCACATTGACTCAGATATGACTAAGCTGACATGTAACAGCAGAAGATCTGGTCCTATTCACTGCTATTTTTCTGAAACATCACTTTAAAGATCATTTCCTACCTTCAACATAGTATTCCTGACTCAACTTGACTTCACAGTAATTTGGTATTGTTTTCATTGTCACATAGATGTGTTGTGCTACATTGACTTCAAAGCAATTAAACTGCACGTGAACCTGTTTAAAACATACATTTAAAATCAAGGTTTTCTATAACTTGTAGAACACATAAGATACAAGATAACATAAGGCTAAGCAATGAGTCACTTTGTTCACACTGGCTTCTTTTACAACACCACTATATAGCCCAAGAGATCATATAATTGAGAAGAATATTTAAAAACCCCACAGCTATTATTTTCAGAAAGGATTTCTAAGAGTTTCATAATTTCTAATCCAAATGGAGCTAGATTTTGATATTGGATACACAGATCTGGTACAAGTCGTGGATGGCAGAACAAATTCCAAAGTCTGACCTTTCTAGCAGAGGTCTCTAAAAGATCATCAGTAGTTTGTCAGTTTTAAGACTCTCTTGCATGTATATTAGAGGTAAATTTTTACAATAATTGCATAAATTTCATGCAGGAGTCATTCATTTTCAGTCTGCAGTATGGAATTGAGGGAAGTAAGGATCATCTGAGGTCACTAGTGCTAGTTACTGGATATAAGCCAAGAGAAGCTGTTGGGTAGCGCACACAAAATTTACCTCAATTTCAATGTTACAGGCTGTTGCTGAATGCTGCACTAGGGCATGTTTGATCACAGAATAATATTAGAATAGATAGAGGCAAAACACTATTTTTATTAAAGAGACTTCAGTTCACATGTCATAAGGCATTATGGTCCTTTCACAATATGTACACAAGCACAAAAAATAACATGCTTCTGATGTTAATAAAACCTAACATCTACCAGTCATTAAAAACAAAAAATCCTCTTATTTTTCACATAGTAGGTCAGATTTTTAAAAGGTACTAACTCTGGGTTCAGGATGGCCCTGCAATTTATTTTGCAGTGTGAAATTAATAACACCAACCATCTAATGCATAGATCTCTAAGTGAACATGTTCCATAAGCATTTTCAGGTTCAAAACAGCACACACAGGTACAAAACGAAAGATCATGTTGAGGCTCGTTTGAAAACTAGGCTCTGTAAAGTGAAGTATCTCTTGCAAAATGATCGATGAAGCAAGTATTAAAGGTGGGAAGAAGGGAGTCTGGATGGTATAAAGAAGTGATGCAATCTGAGTCATATTTTTCTATCAACAAGTTTTTAGGTAACATAATAAATGTACAATCATCATGTACATATTTTGGCAAAGTCAGGGTGTGATGAAGAAAAGAGAGGCATTAAATGTATTCTTGTTTTTTTTTTCCTATAAAGGCTCACAATATTTTTATGCTAAGCAAATTAAAAAGAGGAAGCCTACCTTCCTTCTACCAAGCTTCTTGTTTGTTTTTCTAGAAAACCTCACGCTCACACACTGAGATTGCTGCGTGTCCACAGATAGAAAACAAATTTCCAGACCACGAATATTTTCTGAAAATAATTTTAAAATATATTTTTAAACGTTTATAGTGTTAACATCCTAATAAAGAAAAAACTAAACTGCAAAACATGCAGTGCATTCATAGGGTTTCCTTCTATGCACAAGTTTCGGAGATTTATCTCAGTGTCAAAATAAGGTTATACATATCTATGCCCTTATTTTCATAATTTATAATAATTGTTAGAGATTAAAACACCAATTCTGCTAATCCAGTGTTTCTCAAAGTAGGCTGCAGGCCAACTCGGAGAAAGCTGCTAACGGGCCGCTCCAGTTTGTTTACTTACCGGCTCCGTAGCCATGGAGCCTCATGGCTCCCAATTGCTCTAGTTTGCTGTTTGCAGCCAAGGGAAGCCATGGGAAGCAGCAGCCCGGACCACATTGAGAAACTCTGGGGTAGACTGTTAAGTCATCATGAAGACAATAGGGCGTCAGACAGGCATAAAGATACATCTATAGAAAGGCAGCTATGGGCTCAAGACTTTAGTGGAAGAAGGGAAAGTATTAATTGTAATTTATGGGGTGCAATCCTTGTTCCACTGAAGTCAATGGCAAAATTCCTATTGATTTTCATAGGGCCAGGATTTCACTTTGGGATTTAAGGAAAGCAGTACACATGTTTTTCCACACAATCTTGCTGGTATCATTAATTCAACTCAGCTTGGATTTGAACGCTGCAATATGGAACAAAATCTAGCCGAAGGACCATAAACAAACAGACAAAACCAAAATGGTTCAGTAACAAAACTACTAGCCTACCATCAAGATGCAGTGTCCCTTTAATGCTTAAGTGAAGAGAACATTGGTTTCCCTGTACACACTTCATCATTGTTGAGAGCTTCATGCTTTTCAGTACAGTAGAAGATAAAGAGGCAGGAGCATCACGGCAGAAACTGTTAAAAATACCAGCTGTGAATATCAAAAATATACATATATATAAATCCAACTGGGCATATGGCATTGATCACAAACACATCCAAAAAAAATCCAAAGGTAAAATCCTGGGCCTATTGAAGTCAATAGGAAATATGCAATGACTACAATGGCTCCTGGATTTCACCCCAATGTTTCTATGAGAGGAATCATGTGAGACAGAACAGCAAAGTCCTGAAGAGCAAAAATTGCTTGGGCATTTTGGTGGTGTGGCAGTTTCAGAAGGAAATATCCACCAGTCACAGTTAAGTGACAAATTGGCCAACTCAGGAGAGGAAAAGGAGTCTCTACTTACAACTGTAGTCACCAAACATGGCTGTACCGTCAGTGCTTTTAGGCTCTCTCACAACCATTTAATTCATTGTTCTGTGATCAGAGCCATTCTTGGATTGACTATTTAATTCTATGGGGGCTGGTGGACTATCTGGGCTGCTACTAAATGTTGTTTTTACAGGAGGGGGCACCATTGCCTTTCTATTCATGAAGAAACATCTCATTTTTTGTGCCCTTCAGACCATGAAGCTCACAAAAAGTAATGAAAAAAGGGCCATATTTATCATTTCCTTCTGAGAGTTGTGCATCCCCTACACGTCATTGCTTGGGTCTCCATGCCAATCGTATGTGAGTCTATTATGGAAAGTCAAGAGTAGTTGAGTGGCAGTCCTGTGGCCCCAAAATCCCAAGCAACTTGATGTGCTTCAGCAGCTCTTTGCCACCTGTCCAACCCTCCAAACTCCCAAGCCCCACCACATTAAGCATGATTATCCAGGATTTGTATGAGCAGAGTATGATTTCACCATATTTATTATGCTTTTCTGTCTAAAAGATGTTGTCTTGAAATCATGTTGAAGAATATTTGATTAATGAGGCTTTGGTATAGATCTGTAATTACTTGGCACCGATCTGAAGGGATTAATTTTAACACATACCCAATTAACGGTTGTTTGAATGAGTTGCTAGGTGGTATTTGCTGGAATCTCCATTGTCACACATTGTCTTTGCCACATGCACTACATTTTTGTCGTGTTAGGACATAGCAATGCAATGATTATTAATACTAATAATTTCTGAAGAATTATAGGGGTGCATGGCATGAGTCATACAAATAAAAAACAAGGTCCTGCCCCAAACAGTTTACAAGCTAAGGGCTAAAATGTGCTCTCTGGCTTCATGACCAAGAATAGCTTCCACAGATGGATGCCTATTTACCTCCATGGGAAGTGAGCCATGTCCATAACAAGGAAGTGGGGTGGAGGGAAAAAGACATGGGAACATGATTTTCCTACCAATGATGCAAGGAATCACTGATATATTAGCACTCAGAGTCATTGTTACCTGATCTCCATGCACCTGTGGGGTTCTCATTTTAAGAGGGAGGTTGAGCAGTTGTTGTTGGTTGGGGTAGCCCATCATCATGGATCTATGAGGGGCCAAACTAACACCTAATGCAAATGTGTGCCTCTCTGTTGTTTTCACAGGAACAGAGCCTGTGACGGGGTGCAGTTGTAACCCAGACACCTAGGCTATGTCTACACTCGCGGCTTCTTGCGCAAGAAAACGTCCACACTGCCATGTGTGAGCTGTGCTTTTGCGCAAGAGCGCCCATGGCAGTGTGGACGCTTTCTTGCGCAAGAAAGCGTCCACACTGCCATGTGTGAGCTGTGCTTTTGCGCAAGAGCGCCCATGGCAGTGTGGACGCTTTCTTGCGCAAGAAAGCGTCCACACTGCCATGTGTGAGCTGTGCTTTTGCGCAAGAGCGCCCATGGCAGTGTGGACGCTTTCTTGCGCAAGAAAGCGTCCACACTGCCATGTGTGAGCTGTGCTTTTGCGCAAGAGCGCCCATGGCAGTGTGGACGCTTTCTTGCGCAAGAAAGCGTCCACACTGCCATGTGTGAGCTGTGCTTTTGCGCAAGAGCGCACATGGCAGTGTGGACGTTTTCTTGCGCAAGAAGCCGCGAGTGTAGACATAGCCCTAGTGTGGTTACCATGCAGTGGCACCTAGACTACAGCAACAGTTAAGACCAAGAGACCTCTACAGCATTGTCTAGGCAGCAGTTGGCTTTTAGTTCAGAGGGTAGAGGCTCCTATACTCTGCTTCAGAGATCCCAGGTTCAAAGCTACCCAGTGGCGGTTACAGAGTCACAGAAGACTGTTAGGGGTGCTTCCTGGAGTGCTGACAAAGACACTAACATTTACCTCTTCACTCTCTGGGACTTCTCACCAGCCTGTCCTGCTAGGCTAGTTTAGCTGGTCTCCCTCAGCTGAATCACAGAGCTGAGATCGCTGCCCCTCCACCCCTGGCCAGGAGCAATATAGACACTAAAACAAAGGGTTACAAAGAGTTTGGGTGGTGGCCTATGACAGGCAGTTGTGGGGAGGGAAGATAGCAGGGGTGCCAGAGGCAGGCTCTAGCTGGGAGTTGTTTACTTAGGCAGCTTCCAGTCAGCAACCCTGCAGGAATGTGGCTCTGCTCTGGCAGGGTGAAGGAGTTGAGAGGAGTGGAGGCTTCATTGGCTGCTCCTGTCACCAGCAAAATATCTTAGCTGCTGTTGGTTGGAAACTGGCCAATGGGAGCTAAGAGACTTTGCTAAGGGGTGGGGCAGAGCGCAAAGCCTCCCTCCTCACTCCCAGAATAGAGCAGCCACATTTAAAGCAGCCGCCTCTGTGCTGTGCTTAAGGTTCCCAGCAAAGCATCCACAGGCTGGATCCAGAAGCTTGGTGGGCTGGATGCTGCTCACTGGTAGCCTCTTGCCCACACCTGATGTACACACTGATTACTCCCCCAAGTAACAATTACTTACACTAAGCTTGATGGGGGGAGGGATAGCTCAGTGGTTTGAGCATTGGCCTACTAAACTCAGACTTGTGAGCTTGATCCTTGAGGGGGACCACTTAAGGATCTGGGGCAAATCTGTCAGGGATGGTACTTGGTCCTGCCATGAGGGCAGTGGACTGGACTTGATGACCTCTCAAGGTCCCTTCCAGCTCTATGAGATAGGCATAGTGAATAAAAGTGATTTTATTAAGTACAAACTGTAGGATTTTAATGGATGAAAGTAAAAATAGGCAGAGCACAGTGAATTACAAATTTGAAATGACAAAAAACGCATAGCTAAATCTAACACACATTCAAACTCACCCTAAAACTGTTCTTATTCCAGCTAAGCCTCCAAACCAGGGAAGTCCCTTCTCCCTGGGGTCTCTGGTTCATTTTCTTGGGAGTGCCATGCCAGCCATAGACAAAGAATTGAAAACTTTGCATCTTAAATAGCCTCTCTTTCAGGTGGGAATTATGTTTTACATTCTCCCTGCTGTGGAAAATATCTGGTCAGCCCCTACCAATTCAGGAGATCACATGACATCCTAAGTCCAACCACTGCCTAGATTTAAAGGACAAAAGTGGCTGTTTACAGGTGATTACCCAGACATTGTGGGAAACCCTATTGAAGGATTTCATTTGCACATTTAAAACGATTAACCATTCCATACTCCATGTCTCGTAGGGTATGTCTACACTTGCAGCCTATTTCAGAATAGGGCTGCAAATGTAGGCATTCGAAATTGCAAATCAAGCCCGGGATTTAAATATCCCGCACTTGATTTGCATCTTTCCGGCTGGGCGCCACTTTTTGAAATTGACAAACCCAGAATAACTGCCTGCGTCTACATGCAGCAGTGAAATGGGCATTCCAAATAAAGCCCTCTTTCGAAATACCTGTTATTCCTCCTGCAATGAGGTTTAACAGGTATTTCAAAATAGGACTTTATTTTGAATGCCCGTTTCACTGCTGCGTGTAGACACGGGCAGTTATTCTGGGCTTGTCAATTTCAAAAAATGGTGCCCAGCCAGGAAGATGCAAATCCCAGGATACTCAAGGAGCTGATAGAGGAGGTATCTGAGCCTTTAGCTATGATCTTTGAAAAATCATGGCAGACAGGGGAGATTCCAGAAGACTGGAAAAGGGCAAATACTGTGCCCATCTATAAAAAGGGGAATAAGAACAACCCAGGAAACTACAGACCGGTCAGTTTAACGTCTGTCCCAGGGAAGATAATGGAGCAGGTAATTAAGGAAATCATATGCAAACACTTGGAAGGTAATAAAGTGATAGGGAATAGCCAGCATGGGTTTGTGAAGAACAAGTCATGCCAAACTAATCTGATAGCTTTCTTTGATAAGATAACGAGCCTTGTGGATAAGGGAGAAGCGGTGGATGTCATATACCTAGACTTTAGTAAGGCATTTGATACGGTCTCGCATGATATTCTTATTGATAAACTAGGCAAATATAACTTAGATAGGGCCACAATAAGGTGGGTGCATAATTGGCTGGATAACCGTAGTCAGAGAGTTGTTGTTAATGGTTCTAAATCCTGCTGGAAAGGGATAACAAGTGGAGTTCCTCAAGGGTCTGTTTTGGGACCCGTACTGTTCAATATCTTCATCAATGATGTAGATATTGGGATAGAGAGTACGCTTATTAAGTTTGCAGATGATACCAAACTGGGTGGGGTTGCAACTTCTTTGGAGGATAGGGACATAATTCAAAATGACCTTAGCAAGTTAGAGAAATGGTCAGAGGTAAACAGGATGAGGTTTAATAAAGAGAAATGCAAAGTGCTCCACTTAGGAAGGAACAATCAGTTCCATACATACAAGATGGGAAGCGACTGTCTAGGAAGGAGCATGGCGGAAAGGGATCTAGGGGTCATAGTGGACCACAAGTTGAATATGAGCCAACAGTGTGATGCTGTTGCAAAAAAAGCAAATATGATTCTAGGTTGTATCAACAGGTGTGTTGTAAGCAAAACTCGTGAAGTCATTCTGCCGCTCTACTCTGCACTAGTTAGGCCTCAGCTGGAGTACTGTGTCCAGTTCTGGGCGCCACATTTCAAGAAAGATGTGGAGAAATTGGAAAGGGTACAGAGAAGAGCGACAAGAATGATTAAAGGTTTAGAGAACATGACCTATGAAGCCAGGCTTCATGAACTGGGCTTGTTTAGTTTGGAAAAAAGAAGATTAAGGGGGGACATGATAGCGGTTTTCAAATATCTAAAAGGGGGTCACAAGGAGGAAGGAGAAAATTTGTTCCTCTTGGTTTCTGAGGACAGGACAAGGAGTAATGGGCTTAAAGTGCAGCAGGGGAGGTTTAGATTGGACATTAGGAGAAAATTCCTAACTGTCAGGGTGGTCAAATATTGGAATAAATTGCCAAGGGAGGTGGTGGAATCTCCCTCTCTGGAGATATTTAAGAACAGGTTAGATAGACATCTGTCAGGGATGGTGTAGACGGAGCTTGATCCTGCCTTGAGGGCTGGGGGCTGGACTCGATGACCTCTCGAGGTCCCTTCCAGTTATTATTCTATGATTCTATGAAATCAAACATGGGCTATTTAAATCCCGGGCGTGATTTGCAATTTCGAATGCCTACATTTGCAGCCCTATTTCGAAATACCCTTTCTCTGCATACAAGAATGAAACAAACACCAAAATAAGATATACAGATCCAGTAGACTGAGACACTAAAACTGATAGGTTACATGAGGTGTTTTGTCCAAAGCATCTTTGAGTTATGCTTATTTGTGTCCATAAGTCAATTTCATAAAGCATGGGGGGACCATCACAATACCCACTCACATTGGCTCCAAATTTGATCTATAAAAGGGAGAGGGGAATATATCAAATGCAACCACAATACATAAACTCTACGACCCAGATTCTCCACTTGCTTACGCTGATTTTATGCCTGTGGAACTCTATTGAACTCAGTGGAGACATACCAACGTAACTAGTGGAAAAGAGTAGAAAATCAGCCCTTTTACCTTAGCTCACATAATTTCAGAGCTACCTAATATTTAACAATATGAAGCCTATAGGGTATTCAGCTTTAATCGCAGCTCTTCATTTAGGAAAAAAAATGCTGTACAATCTAGAGATCTCTCTTGGACAGCATTGTGATTGTTCATATTCTGACACACCAGCCCAGAATAACTAGGATGCAGTATTTTCGCATGATCAAATTATTAAACAATGAATCAAATAATCAATTTGTAAGAACCTGGAGAATAATAGGATTCTAAGGAATAGTCAGAATGGTCAACAACAAATCATGCCAGACCATCTTAATTTCCTTCTTTGAAAGGATTACTGACCTAGTGCATGGGGAAAACAATAGATGTGATATACCTTGATTGGTTCTTCAAGACATTCTCATAAGCAAAATAGGGAAATATAGTCTTGATTAATTTATTATAAGAGGAGTGGACAGCTGATTGAAAGACTATCCTCAAAGAGTAGTTATCAATGGTTTGCTGTCAAATTGGGAGAGCATATTTTGTGGGGTCTCACAGTGGTGAGTCCTTCCTCAGTCCAGTATTATTCAATATTTTCATTAATGGCTTAGATAATGAAGTAAGAAGTATGTTTATAAAATCTGCAGATGATTCCAAAGTGGAAGGGGTTGCAAGCACTTTGGGAGACAGATTTAAAATTTAAAATGACCTTGATAAATTGGAAAATTAGTCTGAATTCAACAAGAAGAAATTCAATAAAGACATGTAAAAATTACTTCACTGAGGAAGGCAAAATCAAATGAACTATTACAAAATGAAGAATAGTTGTCTAAGTGGTTGTACTGCTGAAAAGTATTTGGGGATTGTAGTGGACCACACACAATATGAGTCCTCAATGTGATGTAGCTGCAAAAAAGGCTAATAGGGGTATCCCTACACTGCACCCATAGCTCTAAATAAATTGCGTAGCTTATTTTGAGTGTATTTCAAAATAGCTTATTTCATAACTTGGCACTGTCTACACAAATAAACCGCTATTTCAAAATGTCCCTTAATCCTTATGATTATGAATGAGGTTTACAGGGACGTCAGAATAGTGAGCCCTTTATTTCTAAAGCTATTCTGAAATAACAGGTGCGCTGTCAAGTCGTTGAATACTCTATTTCAGGATACTAGAAGTATCCTGAAATAGCGCCGTAGTGTAGAAGTACACTAAGAGTTCAGGTTGTGTTAACAAGAGTATTATATATAAGACACAGAAAGCAATTGTCCCATTCTACATGGCACTGGTGAGGCCCAAACTGCAGTATTGTGTCCAATTCTGAGTACCAGAATTGAGGAAAGATGTGGGCAAATTGGAAAGAGCCCAGAGGAGAGCAACAAGATAATAAAAGGTTTAGAAAACTTGAGCTATGAGGAAATGTTGAATAAAACTGAGCTTGAGAAAAGAAGACTGAGGAGCTACCTGATAAAAATCTCCCAATATGTTAATGGTTGTTATAAAGAGGACAGGGATCAGTTGTTTTCCATGTCAACTGAAGGTAGGGCAAGAAATAAAGGTAGATTTAATTTAGATATTAGGAAAAACTTTCTAACTATAAAGGTTGTTAAACTATGAAATGATTGTAGGTACTAACAGCCACATTTGGGTGGGCTGGCTGAGGAAATCCTAGCAATGATTGTACTAAGTAAGGAAAATTGCAAAGCAATAAAGCACAAAATTCAAGAATATAACATAAGAATGACCACACCGGATCAGACCCAAAGTTCATCTGGCCTAGTATACAGTGCTCTGACAGTGGCCAATAAGAACTATTACCCTAATGTTTTACTTTAGGAAAAGATTCTGTGAAGCTAGTTTTAAATACCACATCAAATGATCATACTGCCCTGATGTGGCCTTCAGAGTGGATTTATTACCTGTTCTGATTTTTTTTTTATTCAGATTTTAAGAATAACACAAATGGGAATGTCTTATACTTACTGGAAGGTTTGCTTTTACAATGAAACCCCTGCAAATAAAAATAACAATTATTAAAAATACTGCTTTGAAGAAAAAAGATGCTATAGACTTAGTATACATGCAAATATAAACATAGTTTAACAAAGTCTGCATCAGATAAATAATTTTTTAAACAGAAGCACAACTTACCTTCAATAACACAACAATGGAAACATACAGAGTACTAAGTTCTTTTTATATATAAGAACAATCCCATCAAACTATGCCCTTTCACATAACACAGGAATTATAGATCACCCAATACACTAATAGGCAGCAGAGTTAAAACAAAGTATTTCATGCAACACATACTCAACTTATGGATGCTGGAATGCTAAAAACGTAACTGGGTTCAAAAAAGAATAAGATACATTCACAGATGATAGATCCATTCCAATGAGGTAGAGCAGCCTCAGACCAACACAAGGGGAATTAACTCATCCTGTTGGGGTCCGCTAACCCAGCCTCTTCCCCTCACAGAAAGTACAGGGGCAGGGCAGAAAGTATAAGACCAAGTTGCTCAGTTTGAGCCAAACGTCTTGCTCAGGAAGCTGAATCAGGTGCCCACAACCAGCTATAGTGAGTGATGACTCTCTTGAGCCAGCCTGGAAACAAGGCCAGCCACTGCCTTGGAAACTGAGAAACTCAAAGTAGAGAATGAGGTATTCAGCAGGGTGACTGGGAACCAGGTCCCAAGTGGCCACAGAGAAACCCAACCAGATAACAGTAAAAAGCAGCCAAAGGAAAAAAAATATTGGTCCTGTTGTGTTGCTGGGAGCCAAAGCAGCAATCTAACACTTCTAAGCCAACCTAGTGATGGGATCACCCATCCTTTAAAGGGCCCTGGGGTGGGATATGGTGAAGCAGAGTGGACCCATGTTCCTCTATCCTTGTGGCTGGATGAGCAATAACTCCCACATCCAAAAGGCCTGAACTATTGCCTGTTTGCTCAGGATTTTGGCTAGATGGACCATTGGTCTGATTCACAATAGTCATTTTTATGTTTTTGTACAGCACTCAATTGAAAAATTGTCAATGCTATTTATTATGTCAAAATATATATTGAACTGTTTGTACTTCCATTACTAGTTGATTGTACAGGGATCTGGTCCTATTTATGCTAACTGCCTTCCATACACTTTTGAAGCTATAGAAATAATAATTAATAATACTACTGGGCTGCGCCCTGTACTCTCTATGTTTGCCAACCCCCCTCTCTCTGGTTGCTTTCATTTTCATGGCCGGAGACCATGAGAGTGTGATGACATCATTCTGTCACCTGTCAGGAAAACATTTTTTATATAGAGAGACAGATTAATAGTAATCAAATGATTTTCAAAGAGGATTTATGTGTATGACAAGTCAAACATTCAGATTAATCATTTCCAAGATTTGTAAGACTTGCCCTTTTATTTAAAAGTATTCAGGCCCTAATTCCATGAATGGGATTACTCAAGTGGGTAATTGCAAGATTTGTGAGTAGAACAATGGAGGGTGGGGACATTTTCTATTACTGTCCTCTTAGTATAGTCATTTTCTTCTGGTAAAAGCCAGTACAAAGAAGATATTAAATGCTACTGCTGATGTGAACAGAGAATTTTGATCTGGTAGAATTTTACACCCACTTCACAGGAGAGAGAAAAATCTTGAAACCAAATACATGCAAATCTGTGAAGATATTTAAGAGTAGGTTAGATAAATGTCTATCAGGGATGGTCTAGACAGTATTTGGTCCTGCCATGAGGGCAGGGGACTGGACTCAACAACCTCTCGAGGTCCCTTCCAGTCCCTTCCCTTCCAGTCCTAGTATTCTGTGATTCTATGATTCTATGAACCAGCATTGCAGGATAAATACCAGAATTGCAGGATAAATTTACAGGCAAAGCTCAGACATCTTATTTCATTTTTTAAAAAACACAGCAAAAAATAATTGCACAAATCTTCAGTTAGGATTATGGCTCCTATCCTGCAAAATGTATGCTTAACTTTATGCTGTTTAGCCCATTGACCCCACTGATGACACCCATGTATCTAATGTTAAGCCCATGCATAAAAGAAGGGTGACCATATTTCCCTGCACTGAATACTGGATACCAGGTAAAATTACTTGTGTTCAGGTGAGCAATCATACCAAAGTTCAAATTAACATCAAGTTGACTGAGCCCCTGTTGGAAAGAAATACTCTGTAGTTGGATTCTTTTTATGTACTTTGCTATCATTCAAGCTGCAGGGCTCACACTGTCAGGGATGACACACACAAACCTATCTCCCCGAACATATATGGGGAGAGGTTATTCCCAGACACCTCTCTCACATGGAGCGGAGGGGTGAACTGGCCCAACCTTCCTGCCCAGTGCTCATCATCCTCCATGCTTGGCTGGGCCCCTCAGATAGACCCACCTCTCGTTGTACCTAGCATTGCATTCTGAGGCAACACATGGGCAGAGGGAATAACGGGTCACATACCTGCCCTCCACAGATTTCTGCCACAGTTCCCATCAAAATATGGCCAGCAGCAGCCTTGTGGGACTTTGTGGGAAGAAAGGAACAAGATTTGCAACCAACTGCAGGGAGGGGATGACCGGGCCCATGTCTTTGCAAAGCTCTTCTGCCCCCACATAATCCCATGAAGCTGAAAGCAACTTGTCCCTTCCTACCTACACAATGTCTATTCAATATCAACAAACTCAAAAAAGTCAGAGTTCTTTTCCTCATATTGCGAACACAGAAAAATGGCTGTAAATTTTCAACAAAGTCATTTCTATATCAACCAACAGCTGACCACCTGCATGTTTGCAAGTATTGTGCACTGTGGGTACAGGGCATTTTGCATTATAATGCTGTCATTTTTAGTACATAACAACTTATACACCAATTTGTGTTTGCTATAGTTCACATTGGCATTATCAACAGAGTATGCAGCAAGACAATTAATGTTAAGATGGTGTTTCTCTTGGCAGTTCATCATAGCATAATGAAAACCTTTTGCAAATTCATCACTGTCTTCATAAAAATCAAGCAAATTTGTACTGAATGCTGCCTGATACAGTGAAATATTGGAAATATCTTCCTGTTCCCCTCATTTGAGGCTTGATTGCTACAGAGAAATATTCAGGGGGTAGCCCTGTTTGTCTGTAACTAAAAAAAAGTAAAAATATGGTCCTACAGCACCTTAGAGACTAAGCAAAAATATATTTACATAGTATCATGAGCTTTCGTGGGCACAACACACTTCTTCAGATGACAAATATGGAGCAAGAGGCATGAAGCTTCAAATAAAAAGCAGAAAAAGTGAAGAAAGGGGAAGAGGGAAAAACTATCAATTAAAAGATCCATGCTAAATGAGGCTAATAGAGTGGACTGAAAGTGCCCGATACTTAGCTCTTCATGTCATTTGGGTATTGAATATAATGGCCCATCCAGTTCATGTCTTTGTTCAAGTCATGAAGTGTCAAATTTGCATATGAAGGCCAGTTCTACAGACTCTCTCTTTAGTTGATTCCTGAAATTACTTTGTAAGAGAATAGCCACCTTTAAATCCATTAACGAGTGCCCAGGCAAGTTAAAATGTTTTCCAACAGGTTTCTATTGAATAACGAATATACCATTTTGAATATCTGATTTGTGTCCATTAATCTTTGTTGTAGAGACTGTCCAGTTTGGCCAATATACATGGCAAGCATTGTTGACACTTGATGCCATATATCACATTAGTGGATGTGCAGTTGTATGAACTTATGTGGTTAGGTCCTCTGATGATGTCACTAATATAGATATGTGGACAGAATTGGCATCAGAGTTTATTGCAGGTGTGGGCACTGAGTATGTCTGAAGTGTGATGCATGGTTGCTGGAAAGAACTTGTTTCAGGTTAGAGGTTTTTATGTAAGTAAGGATTAGTCTGTCTTCCAAGGCCTGTGAGAGTAGGGAATCGTTTTCCAGGATAGGTTGTAGATTGTTAATGATGTGATGGAGGGGTTTAAGTTGGAGATTGTAGGTGATGACTAGTGGTGTTCTTGTTTTTTTTGTTTGTTGGGCCTTTCTTGAAGAAGCTGATGCCTGGATACTTGTCTGGGTCTGTCAGTCTGTTTTTTTGCTTCCACAGGTGGGTACTTAAGAGAAATACGTATGTTTTTCTATTGGCATGGTAATTAATCCCCTAAACAATCCCCCACAGACTTTGGAGTTAAAATAATGGTCACTGATAGCTCCGCTCTGGTTCCTCTGGAACACAATTTGTTTTCAGTATTTGAAATATGAAACATTTCACTGGCAAGCTTATTAGCACAGTCCATGCTGTTGTAACTTAGGCTGTGTTTAAGTTGGGCGGTAAACTGTTGCAATTTCCCATGTTGCAATTCAGTCACTTTCCATGTTTGAGGAGATAAAGAACTTGCTAATATTTGTCATGCCTTTGGTCAGTGTATTTTTCTTATGCTCATTGGCTGCCCCAGGTTACTTTCACCTCCATGCCCAGCAGAGAATTCACTCTGGCACAAAGTACAAAAGCTTTACCAGAATTGTAACTGACAGTTTTTACCCAGTTGTACTTTTCTTCTTATTGGCTTTTATATCTACACAGTCTCTTTGTTTTTTTCTCTTTAGGTCCAGAAGAAATGTCTGATGTTCCTACTGCTTCACTTACAATTTCATCGAACATTTTCCTGACTATGTAAAAGCATGCTGCAGATAAGGGAAATTGCCTTTGTGGTATGTTAGCCAGTTAATATCCTTATTCAAGCCCAGGTTGATAGTGTCAAAATAACTGAATAAAGATGTTAACAGGTTAACACACTATACATTTAATAATTTTCCCTGCCTTTGATAGTCATATTTTCACATTAAGCACTATGAATGGGTTACATCCTTCCCACTTAATTAGCTTCATTAACATGGGTCCTACAATTGACAGGTAACTGCTTTGCTGTTATGTATACCTTGGATTCTATAATTTCCACCATCACTAAAATAGTTCACTATAATCCACTAGCTCAGGGGTGGCCAATCCATT